AAAAGAAGGTATATAAAGTCGTATAATTAAAGAATTTTATATTTATATATTATAAAATACTTGTTTGGCGTTTAATCAAAGTGTGACATCAAGACTTGTATTTAGCACGTTCTTCCAAGTCCAAGAATGCGTTGCCGATGATCTTCCAGTTACCAGTACGCCTTTTACCGTAACTATGTACACAGGAGTATACATATGTAGTAACATACGTGTATACAAGTCTCAGAGAACCACCGCGAATCATTTTTACCGAGAGACTCTGATCCATACATGGTAACGACGAGAAGACTGGCGTACTGCAATACGTAATACATTACCGCATGCATACTATATCTTTTTCTCTCTCCCATAATCGCCATTCTTGCACTGAGTATAAGGAGGCAACATTATAAAACACTACACGTATCTATATACGTATCGTATGAGCCTACAAAGACTTGAATCTTGATTTAGATACGCGAATGAACTATGACATTGTCACGAAGAGGAAACAGATATTGAGTCTTTTATAAGAGCGACGTTTTCACTATGGTGAAAATAATCCTTCTTCGTTTATTAATTGATTCATGGATATGATACTACATATAGTATGTTTATGCTTCTCTCTGAAGTCTATCAAAAGGAGCACATGGAAAGCGTGTAAGATTGTTCCTGGACTGTAACAAAGTGTAGACCTGAAAGAATATGCATTAATGCGAGCTAAGGTATATATACTTATTTGAAGAGACAGTCTACGTATGTACGTACTTTCATTATATGTTTGTATTATTCCTGGGAAATTGTAGGAACGAATGGACTCCATTGGATATGATATATTCTTTCCTCGGATGTTAGAATTGGCTAAATTCATACAGAAAGTGCTTGTATATATTTTGTATGTAAAGCTGTACATATAGATTCCTCTGTGCTTATGCTGGTTGTAAATATTTTTTAAGTATTAGACTGTATATCCATGAGCTTGAATAATTCCAATATTTCAAGTCTATTGTACAAGCACGTCTCGACATTGATTGTCTAGTCACGGAGGTAGAATCGTCGTTTCCGTTCTGTTGTCCATCCAGGAGTTGTTATCACATCTAAAAAAAATATTTTTAGATACGAATTGGAATATTTAGTTTGATATTTTTATACCTTTAATTTCATTTAATAACTTATGAATGTGCAAATGGAGTTTTTAATGATTCCAGTTATGAGTTTTCGGGGTCATTCAACCAATGACTTCGCACCAGATACCATTTGAGGCCGCATCCTTGCAATTCTATCCTGCAACAGTGGCTCACCTTTCCGGATTGATTTGACGTTGACCATTGGCAATTCAAGTACATGGCTGCCGAGATTGGATCAAGTTCAACGGAGGCGTTTTGCGTGGGGGAATGACTTTTCGGCGACGTGTACCATTTTAGCGAATGAAACGTCAACGTCATTTTTATTCAGGGCCCTCTAGCTGTGGGCCCGACATTCGCAGTGATCGGCATCTATAATTGAATGAACGTGTAGGCTGAAACAAAGAGCGAGGATTCTGTAGTATGTAGGTATATTTCAGTGCGAAGATCAAATTCAGGGTTACCCTTTGTTTCCCTTCTGGTTTACATACATAATTATTATAAATCGACCCACTTGCTCTTGCATTTCCATTAAAAACAAACCCACTTTTATCCCAAAGACACAGAAGCTTAACACCTACAAAATTTTATTTCAGTTACAGACCAGTTTATAGACTTTTTCTGTTTCTAGTTTTTTTTCCTGTCTAAATCCAATCCGCCCACGTTACATTGTCTTTGCATAAGATCGATAAAAATAACACGATACTCGAATCAATGATAAATTATAATTCTACATATAAATATACATGATATGACGAGTACTACTGTATATTTGTTATCTACCTACACCGTTGGTCGACAGGAAATGTGTTGATATTTCTTCACAATTAATCCGAGTCGAATTCCGCATAAAAAAAGAGCTAACAATATAACACACAGTATGGTATGATAAAAGAGAAATAAACTCTCAGACAGGATGTCTAGGAACAAGCCATCACCTTCTCCACGGAATCCCTATGGCATTAATTACAGTTTTACATCCCAAGGGTTCCTGTCACGGTGAGTCACATATCGACCTCTTATGCTGTATAGGTTAGGGTCGACAACGTATTGAATAGTGAGTAAGGGTGGAAATAAAAGCATTGAACTTGTCACCTCACATGGCCATAATACCATTCCTATTTACCGACAGAGTGAAATTTCAGACAATACAATACCAAAACGCATCATCATCTTCCAACTACGATTTAAATAAGATTAACAAAAAGAGATTCCAAAACTGTTGAAATTTTTCATTTATCACCAGGCGATTATATCTATAAGTACGCTCGTTATTCTGCATTGTCAGTTATTCAAAATAATCTGTCCTTGTCGTTAAGCATACGTCACCGCTAATATATCCAAAAGATTATTACATTTTGCATGGAATGATTAAGAATAGCGTAGAGTATCTGAAAGTTTCAAAGGAGAAGACCTAATGTAATAAATCTCTGACCAAACTCTATCATACGTTTAGAGATAAATCTTTCACGTATTACGTATACAGTCAACAGATCTCTTAATTCTGTGAATGCCCACGCGTATGTACGATGATTAGTTCACTGCAAGCGTAGAAGGAAGTAGTCCTGAGTACTAGTGAGTAGTTAGGTTCATTAGAATCATTGTTTTTATATATGTATAAATATTCAGGTGGCACAAGAAATATGGAAATAGTTCATGAAAATGTCTTACTATTCTTCGTGTTTGTTTTTAAGCATGACTCGTATCCTCGTCATATTATTTTTACGTGGTAAAAGATCTGTACACTATATGACCGTTTATATACATATATATACACATATATAGATATACACATAGTATACTGGCCAGTTTAGTATTCGTGTCAGCTAACTTTTCGTAGGCGTCGATTTCGGCCTACGGCAATGCAGCTTGCATGACCAACAGAACTAATGTCCCTAGACTTTATCCCTGCCGTGTAGAATATCAATTCTTATCTGTATCCTCGAGTAGTGAATAAAATAACGAATCTAGGATTATCCGCTTAGCGATGGCCTTTCACTGAACAAAACGGACATAAGAGTTTCCAAAATGCGCTAATGGTTATACTAGAAAATTTGAAGTTTCTATCTCATAACACAGATACATTAGACGCTATTATATTCACATGGGAATCTTAAAATGCAATTGTTTTGACGTAAAATTGTCAAATCCAATAAAAATTATTGAATTTTATTATCAGATCGGTTTGCATCATCACATCAAGTGGAATAATTTAGTTGGGAAACTTCGAATCAATAGTAACTCTGCGTAATCCCAGTACGATAATACAAAACAAAAACAAAAAAAAGAAAGAATTTTCTACGGAGATATTAAACTACAAATATATTCTCTGCCAAATCATTGTGTCTTATGTGCGAAAAGGACAAAATTACGGCAGGCCATGAATTTTTTGAAGATTTTTTGGAGATGGCAACAGCAATCCAATCTAGGTAGTTATTGGTAATGTTGGCGGCACTGACGACACGGTCGCCCGCGACGTCGCGAGTTACCGTAGTGGGGATATGCAGGACCAATCAGAGCATTGCCAGCGATCAACCTCCTGCGCCCCACCACAGCCAGTCAGGGGCTTGAAAATCTGTAACGGACGCCGCTGCTAGCGCATATTCGTTTCTTGGCTCTCGCGAGGTGTTAGATCTCGTCAGTAAGACTTCTACTTTGATCGTACGAGAGAGTTATCCAGTCAACGCATAAAACATGAGGGAAATCGTGCACATCCAGGCCGGCCAGTGCGGAAACCAAATTGGCGCTAAGGTAAGTCGAAATGCGATATTTGTTTGTTTTATTCGAGTCACTAGATACTGTGTATGAACTCTTGGGAACCAGTGGGATATCCTTTTGTTTTTAATGGGGTATGAGATTCACTCATACTGTCTCTTTACACGTTTACGATTAGATTCACGTCTCTTACTCACTTTGAGAACATTTCGGGTTCATCAGTCGCAAGTATCAGACCATATAGTATATTCATCTTTCCAAGTGCATCTTCCTATACAAGCGTTTCACACGCTTATCATTTTTAATCATTGTAGGAATTCTACAAATGTTCTCATTGACCATAATAGCTTCGATTACATTTTCCTGAAGGAATTTATTCGAAAACCACAATAAGATCCAATCGTAATTAACACAGTGGAGAAACATTGTAGTAATTTTTTCCCAGAGTGTAGACTATCATGGCGACAGGACGCGCCGGCCGGCAAACGGTCGGTGTAACGGTTTTTTGTTCTCAAATGAGACTGTGTCGTTATCCGCGCTCGCACCTCTTTCTTGTTTTTTTTGTTTAATTAGGGATCCTTATTGTAACTGTACTAATTGAAATTGTGATCAAGCTACTTATAAAATCTCACGATCCTACTAACATCTTGTAAAAAATATAAAACAGACGTGTAGGTCGTGAACACTATATGGCTGGGTGTGGCTTATCTTGGCGTCCTGTGTTGAAGCCAGCATACCAGTGTGTAGATGCGGCAATGGCATCGAGCGGTTGCGCACGCACCTCTTCTCTCGTCTCCTTGTTGAAGCATATTTTGGTAGTTTTGAAACTTGTCTTTTTATCCTTGTAATTTTTAACCCTCTGTATATGAAGGGGTTCATAATCTGACTGTGTTCCTATTTGAAAGTTTCTCAATGCTCTTATCGACGTCAGACTATTTATTCTACAATACAGTGTCTCTTATCCAAAAATGAATCTAATGGCAGGTTAAGATTTTTTTAACAACATTGTAACACTTTGTTAACCGATGAAAGAAGCAGTTTTAAGGCTGTATAAAAAGTAACAAGGATATCCGAAGGAATTTACATTACCTTGTATCAGTGAATAATCTTTTTATCTATATGACGGCTTATTTATTCTCTGTATATGTTAGATAGGTCGTAACATGTTAAAATAAAATATTGTTAGACACGGGAAATTAAAGAATGGCGTATTTTCACGGTTGGTAGTTTTCAAGGATACTTTTAAGTCATTGTCCGTTGTCTAGACTTTCCATCTTCCCGTGTTGGAAGTAATATAATTTTTTTTAGTTATACCGTGTGTCACGCTGTTATCCGTTATTGAAAATTTATTGAGAATTTCACGTTTATGCAATGATTAAGAACCGTGCAGGGATAATATGTTTGAGATCAAGGACAACAACTCTTACGTGGCTCTCGTGAGTCGCAGCCAAATAAAGTAAAATACATCCTCTCGCCATTTTCCTGTGGCCTAGAGATACAGTATAGTATACCTACCTCTAGTCGGCCGTCCAGGTGTATTGATCGTTTCGTCCAGGGTTACTGGCCAGTTTCGTGCGCACGGACTCCTCTGCTACATTGCATATATATTTAGCATACACTTTCATCCAGGCAACCAGAAGCTCTATTCAAAATTGGTTCCATGACCGTAGGACGGAAAATTTCTTTTCCTACGAAGCCCTCCGTTTGCTCATTCCATGACTTGAAAGTTCAGGAAAAGTAATTTCGGAACAGCTGCTCAGTAGCTGACAAAGGATCCGAGGCAGATGTGTACCCAGTGGTTGCCATCCCGCTGGACGACATTCTGACAGTTACGAGAAACAATAATTTCTGTTTACTTTAAGAATTTAGATAGATTGCATTGTAGAAACGATATAAGCACTGATTAGGCCCTCTTTATCGATAATTATCTGATGCAATTTAAATCTTAGCTGTTCGGAAAGTCAAAAATAGACATTGAGTTAAAGCACTATTGTATCTTTATACTTATTATTGGTACTGTACCTCTGTATCTATAGTACAATGCACTATAGTCTATGGTGTAAACGGATGGGATTAACGGTAAAATCTGTAACCTTTTTGCCGGCACCGTAATAATTCTTTGAAGAAAGGAATGATTTTCATAGATTTTAAGTTTGTGTAGTTTGCACTTAGGATAGGTGACATATTAGTGGTAGAAGCGGGATTATGTTAATTATCCAATCGTGTCAGTTTACGGTCATCTCTATATATAGCGGTGACATTGGTGACTCATATCTTGCAGTAATGTATTACACTGGGAATGGATTGAACCAGAGTGGGGACCAGTCGACGAGGTAGCTTCCCACTACCAGTGGATGTTCTTATATGGTCAACAGTTAATACCTAGTGTCTCCTTATACGACACATGGTGTCGAACTGACACTTCACATTTCGTTATCTAGGCTGGCTGGTGCCCCAAAGCCTTAGGGCAGTAGATTGCATTGGTAAACAACACGATACTTAACTACAGACACTTTGAAAGACCTTAGTAGATACCTGATGGTCTCGTGGAGTTCAGCGGTTCGATTTCTAGAAATATCTATTTGTCCGAGGTCTTTGAACTATGGCTAAGAGACAGAGACGTAAGTAGACAGGCAAGCAGGTTGCTGGGTAGGTTGATAGCTCATTCCGGCATGGAATGGCGAGCCAGGTTTATGCGCGCTCGAGTGTAGCTGACCGGGAGCCGGCTTGGTCGGCGACTACCTCTACATCGCTAATTAGTCTCGATTGGCACTCAAGCGATTCGTTAAGTCTAGGTGGTGAAAAGGAAATGGGTGGTAGTCGATGATCGGATTGAGAACTTTGAGGATGATGAGGAAAGGAATGGGGTTGATGGATAAAGAATTGGAGGAGGGAATAATTCTGAGGGGATGATGTTTGATTTATGGGCTTGAGATATGATTGATCACTAATGGATTGTATTTTTGCTGTTTGCAGTTTTGGGAAATCATCAGCGACGAGCATGGCATTGACCCGACTGGTGCCTACCACGGAGATTCCGATCTTCAGCTAGAGAGGATCAACGTGTACTACAATGAGGCATCTGGTGGCAAATACGTGCCCAGGGCCATCCTCGTCGATCTGGAACCCGGCACTATGGATTCCGTACGATCGGGACCCTTCGGACAGATTTTCCGCCCTGACAACTTCGTCTTTGGTCAGAGCGGTGCTGGAAACAACTGGGCTAAGGGTCATTACACCGAGGGTGCCGAGCTTGTTGACTCTGTCCTCGATGTAGTGAGGAAGGAAGCTGAAAGCTGTGACTGCCTTCAGGGATTCCAGCTCACTCACTCTCTTGGTGGTGGTACTGGATCTGGTATGGGTACCCTTCTCATCTCCAAGATCCGTGAGGAATACCCCGACAGAATTATGAACACCTACTCCGTCGTACCATCGCCCAAGGTCTCCGACACTGTTGTCGAGCCCTACAACGCCACCTTATCCGTTCACCAGCTCGTGGAGAATACCGACGAGACCTACTGCATCGATAACGAAGCCCTTTACGACATATGCTTCCGTACCCTTAAACTTTCCACCCCCACCTACGGTGACCTGAACCATCTGGTCTCCCTCACCATGTCTGGCGTCACTACCTGCCTCAGGTTCCCCGGTCAGCTCAACGCTGATCTCAGAAAACTCGCCGTAAACATGGTACCTTTCCCTCGTCTCCACTTCTTCATGCCTGGATTCGCACCTCTTACGTCCCGTGGCAGCCAGCAATACAGAGCACTCTCTGTACCAGAACTCACCCAGCAGATGTTCGATGCCAAGAACATGATGGCTGCCTGCGATCCTCGTCATGGAAGGTACCTCACCGTCGCCGCCATCTTCCGTGGCAGAATGTCCATGAAGGAAGTCGATGAGCAAATGCTCAACATTCAAAACAAGAACAGCTCCTACTTCGTTGAATGGATTCCCAACAACGTAAAGACCGCTGTGTGCGACATCCCACCTCGTGGACTTAAAATGTCCGCCACCTTCATTGGAAACTCCACCGCCATCCAGGAGCTCTTCAAGCGCATCTCTGAGCAGTTTACTGCTATGTTCAGGAGAAAGGCTTTCCTTCATTGGTACACTGGCGAGGGTATGGATGAGATGGAATTCACTGAGGCTGAATCCAACATGAACGACTTGGTCTCCGAATATCAACAATACCAGGAAGCTACGGCTGATGAGGATGCAGAGTTCGACGAAGAACAGGAAGCCGAGGTCGACGAAACTAACTAAGAACCTAAGTATAATCTAAACAGCGTGAAGGATTGACGAGATGAGAAGATGATTGCGGTAAGGATGAACCCCATCCTTATTGCATTGATCTTCTCAGTTCGTTACACTGTTTACATTATATATGTGTAACGGATATATCAATTCTATAACGATATTAATTAGTGCCCTTAATAATAAAGCCTCTATACGATAATTGATCTTTTCTTTGAGCATAATTTCCATCAGCTTTCTTTTATATTCTCACGTACTACGTGCTTGTTGAATTCTTGTTCTTACTTTTGTTTTCATTATTAATTTCTAAAGCTATGATGACCCCCGCGTATGCGGCTATTAAAAAAACCATGACATTCATAGTTGTATAAAAATGATTTCATAAGAAAAAACAGTAATGAGAGCGCTTGAAAAGGGCCGAAAGATGAGTTACGGCTTAAATGATATATTGTTACTGGATTGATATATTCAGTATTCGTATAAACTTGCAACACTCCGAATATATCAATAATCAATAACGATATTCACTCCAGTGTAAAACCGCTTAAGCGGCTGCCGATCATCATTCTCTTAATAAATTATTATCGAATAAAATTTTATTTTGTTAATGCGTACATCCTGATTACTTAGTACGCATAGTATAATCACTGTCCATGTTTCATCAACGTTAATATTTCTAAAATATCTGTACATGTTCTAGATTACATTATGAATTGTGTCACGTCAAAATTGCATGTTGTGCGAGTGGCTACGAAATTCGTATTATCACTTGGATCGCCAAACTATTTTCGGATCTTGCGTTTTTATGCTCGTTTAACCGGTTTGTTAATTTCATCTACTAAGACTTTGAATTTGCATTTTGACCAGTACGGCAGAAGATCTTAATATTTGATGTTCATCACAGTGTTACAAGAACGAAAAAAAGTTATGTATTTTGGAGCGTGTTAATATCAATATTGAATCGCACGTGCTAAATTGCTATAAGTACGTACATTAATCAGCGATTTCAGGTTTTTATTATCTTCAATGAAGCTTGTCAAAATAATGGATGCGTCAGCTGCAACTTGAACTGCAGTAACTTGATGATTGAATGATTTAAATAAGATTCAATTTTCGAGATTGCACGGTAAGTGTTATCTGTATTTTATGGTTTCCTGTCCTCGAGCATTTAACAGATGTATATACACACACCTTCACTTTATCGTGGAACTTCCGGCATTATCTCATTGGTGATCTTAATAGATTATCATGAATGTCACGTAACGTGCATATATGTATAACGGTTCTAATTATGAAGATCTAAAATAGACAGTGACTAGCTCAACATTTATTAAGAGGATAAAGTGCAGGAGATAATAGGTATATAGTAAAAAGAATGTTAGTATTAACAGCTTTTTATTTAGTATAAAAAATTGATTTAAAGATATATTTTTATTTACCATGTTTCGTACTATAATATTTAATTCCATTAACTTTTGAACACCTCGTGTATTTGGTTAAAAGAGCATTAACATTTAATTTGTCTGTTGTTAGACCTCTGAAAGTGAAATCACACTTTTGTATTGAAAGATATGAGTCATGCAGTTTTATTCTATACTTACGATACGTAAGGTGTTATTTCATCGATAGTCCACTTGTCTTTTACTTTAAAGAGCTCGCTAAATCTTGTGTTTATGTTATCTGATAGATTTACGGAGGGGAATGATATCACCTCTTTCCTTGTTTTTGAACTGTTATATATAATCAGCGCTACTCCGCTGAGATATGACTCCTTTGGTTCCATATCTTAAGAAATTTAAAAAAATATACTAAGCTTATAGAAAGTATGTATTCTTTGAACTTACTTTCAGGTGTTCCTATACGCCATGCCTCCATAAATTCTTTGTAATCATTTTTTGGACAAGCAGCCAATAATACTTTGGCGAGAAACTTGCATGTTTTCTCTTCATTGTATCTGCATAATTTTTTAATATTTTAATGGAATTATTGTCATTAGATTGTATCTCGTAAAGTAATACAATAATAGTTAGACAAAATTTATAATAACTGGTACCTGTACAAGGATGTCCCGTCGCTTTTAGTTTTTTCACTGACTTCTGTATAGGCATTAAATAATCCTTCGAAAACAGGCCAAGGAATAAGTTCTTTTAAAGATTCATATGTAACATCCTTGTCAATGTCATCGAGTTCCCAAGAATTTTCATCTATGAGATCCAACATTAGTGTAAGGGCTCTGGCTTCATATTCGAAAGATATTAGACGGAAATAGCCTGATAAATTAAAAAATAATATATGTAATCATTAGCAAAGTGTTATGCACTCTTGAAATAGTTATTTAACATACCGTCGATATTAATGATCATATAATCAGTCAGTGCCCTTTTTAGCTCCTCTTCACTGGCTTGTATTTCACTCTTAAGTCTATGCCAATCATACAAAGTGCCTCGATCCAGATTTTGCTCATACTCCATTCCTTTGAATGATGAAGGTTCAAGTACCACTAGTAGCTTGCTCAATTTAGGTTTGCAATTGTGAACCTAAAATTATATTTATCAGTAGAAGTGCATTTTATATTTCATGGCACTATTTAAGAGTATTGGTAATAATAATTACTTCAAAATATGTATGGTAGATTCCTTTTACATCTCGTCTCTCTATAATTCTCTCATTGCTTTGTGTTTCTTCTGCAAATTTAAAGTTTGGTACCAACATCCAGGAATTTGATGTTTCTGCTTCCTTTATATCATATGTTCTGTCTTTGGTGCACAGTACTGCAGGTTCATGCTTTTCACCACAAAATGATAAGCTGCAATAATAATTATTTATTCAGTAATGTTATATTTGTTAAATTATGGATCCTTAATGAAAACTGTCAATCAATTTTCTGTAGAGTATCTATCAAAATATTCTTATAAAATTAATGAACAAGTTGATTATTAGAAATGATAAAAATTATTTACCAGTCTCCTTCATTAAGTACATTCAATAAATGAGTATCCAATTCCAATAATTTAATATCAGAATTCTTATTACTATTTGGAGTAAATTGTAAAATTTGTGTTATGCCATTTAAATCTGCCTCATCGATGTTAGCCAGTTGCAACGTATCCAAGACATCTTCTGCTGTTCGTAAACATCTAAAGCAAAAGTTACATAAAGGTTTTTTAATTAAAAAAATAGAATGATTTAATATTAACTTTGATGCAAACTGAATATAATTTTAGAAATTTAGAAACATATAAAAATAAATCATCTATGCATATTCTTAACTAATTTGGCTTATATGGAATGTGAGATATTATTTATAAGAGTATATTAATTATAAGAGAAACAATATTGTTTACTACTAACGTATCCCTGACAGATTCCATGGTGCAGATCAAGTTCGGGCTGTTCGGGTTGGACTAGGTACCGGATGTACATTTTCGCGCACTTTCTTTCCATCCAATAAGCATCCGAGAATTTTCGAACTCGATATTTGTCCTAATATTTCAGACGCCTTGCAGCCATATTCGTTTACCTTCTTAGGTAGCTTCAACAGTTTTCAGCTTATAACACGTCGAGTTTCGCTTCATTTTATCGTAAGTATTATTTTCCCTTAACAGTATTTATAAACAAATTATTCTGTTTCCTTCAATTTACTTAGGTAGGCATATCAATTTAATTTTCAAGCATTAAAGCAAACCAATGCTACTTCACGAGCAATGATAAACGTTTGTAACCTATATTTGTTCAAAATTTGATGACTAATAACACTAATTTTCTTTGTAAGTGACTTGTTCATAAATAATTAGATTCTGGCGTACAAGAATATTATATATTTACGACAATATAAATGTCAAAGTATTAATTGAGACGCATTTTAAAAAACAAACAGCATTTGCCTGTAAAAAAAGTGTTTTATAATAATCTATTATATACATATAGCTTCTTCCGACAATAAATATTACATTACTCGTTCTATCAATAGGCTTCCTCAGTTTAAATAATCATGGAAATATTTGTGTAATTTTCATTAGGAGTAAGCCATTTATGGAGTTTGTTGTTTGTCTCTAGAACAGCTCGTCAGTCTGCACAGAAGTCATGTCTGGTGATATGAGTATGCACGCTGAGAAGGTATGTATTTTGTTGTAACTCTAAATACACATCCTTTCTTGTATGTAAAGCATAAAATTCTGTTGCACCTAGTGATAATTAGCAGCATAGTTACAACGGCTTGCAATTCACCAAAGTTTCCCTATTACAGTGATTACTAATATTCCTTTTTATTCATAATATGAAGCCCGATTATGAGGAAGATGTTGACGATAAGGGAGAAGAAGAAGGGGGAAAATCAACTATTGACTTGCATGCGGTACCTATCACACAGCCTATTCAATTATTTCTGCTTCGAATAACTGTTAATTTAACATTGCATATTTGCCTCCTTTTCACTCCTACCCCCTAACAATTCTATAAAGCAGTTATACTTGACTTCTTCACTTTTATTATAGCAAATATAGCTATGTTAAACTATAATATTATTTTCAGCAAGAATCAGGTCCAGTATATGGGGGATGTGAAGGTCCTGATGCTATGTACGTCAAGCTTGTAAGCAGCGATGGTCATGAATTCATAGTCAAACGAGAGCATGCCCTGACCAGTGGTACAATCAAAGCCATGCTCAGTGGTCCTGGCCAGTTTGCAGAAAACGAGGCAAATGAAGTTAACTTTCGTGAAATTCCGTATGTATCATAACAATACCCAGGAATTCTTTTTGCACATTCAATATCACAGGCAAAGACATACAAGATGGATACTTTTCTTTACAGCTCCCACGTACTACAGAAGGTCTGTATGTATTTCACATACAAGGTGCGTTACACGAACAGCAGCACGGAAATTCCTGAATTCCCAATAGCACCGGAAATCGCCCTGGAACTATTGATGGCTGGAAATTTCCTTGACTGTTAGATTGATTCTTTAAACGGCTGGAGGCACGCTGATGGAGCCAGTTGAGAAAATGCGCTCAGGATTCAGAAACACGTCGATCATACAGACGGTGTTTTAAGAACTGTGTGATCTTATTGTGAGACGAGCTAAATGCAGGCTAGATTGTCCTACCTCTCGGTATCATAACCGAATCGTGAATAGAGTTCTCGTGCGATAAAGTTGCGTGCCGAAAACAAAGTTTACGATCTGGCCTAACAACGTCGAGTGGAATCCTGGGCTGATATGCGATTGCAAAGCGACAACGTCGTTTAGTGCTGGACATTTAACGAACACATTGTACCAATTAATAAATGATTTAAATTGATTCGCAACGTAAGCAGCAGTAACCTTTGATCGTTAATATAAATTCATTTTTTCTTTTTTTTTTAGTGACTCAAGTGACTTTCGGTTCTCTTTAAAATAATTTAAATACTGTTGTTCGAACGTTGTGCACGACGGCGATAGGCGGTGATTGTTAATTTTTACACTAGAAATAATGTGCAATACTCGTAAGCTGCACGAATCAGAATATGAAAGTCCTTGCTTGATCTTGTCAAATTTTAGGAAAATTTAACGGTAAACTTTTCACAAGTAACGTTGTACAAAAGAATGTCCATTTATGTTAGTTTTTCCATATGACAGATGATTCGTACAGATATGTTTTTCTCATTTTGAAACACGAATAAGTATACATAATATATAATATATATTGTATACATAATATATAAATATTCGGATTATTTTTGTTTTCTTCTATTTAATATGGAATTTGTTACCTCATAACGGAAGCTATCATAATTGTATACATAATTTTTGACGTAATAAAGACTCAATTTTGAATTATAGTACTTGGCCAATTGAATTGCGGTTTCTAGTAGATACAATTAATTTAATAACGTGATGTACCATATCTCTATTATCTGCCTTAGATAATAAATTCATCAATCTCTGATTGCTCGCCATTGATGGTATAACCACAGTAAATTCAATAGTAACATTTATATTATTAATAAATAATAGAATACAGATTTTGCACATCTGCCGGCTATGTATAAATTATAATACGCGTGTACATCAATAATAAAAGTTCTACTCTATACTAGCATTTATGTTATTTTAGTTACAAATATGAACCCTTGTTATTTAATAACTTATTGATACTTCTAAATACAGAATTCCTTCTTGTTTAGAGATCTTATTCCTATGACCATATATTGCACCAAAGGAGGCAATTGTGTATTAAAAATAAGAATTTAGAACTCCATGAATATCGATGAAGCAAATCCTTTTAATAACATATCACATAATTTAGATTATATGAAAATATTTACCCATGGGGTACAGTGGCAATTAAAATATTTCAAAACAGACAGCGACATCTCACTTGCTACTGTTCTCTTTCTCGATTTCCTTGAATTTAGCTTCCAGTCTTTTGGAATATGCAGCTAATTTATATGCAGCCTGCTCTAATTTTGTTACACTGTCATCTATCTGATTAATGTTATCCAGTACTGGTTGAAGTTTCTTATACTTTTGATTTAGTGTATCTAATGAATGTGCCACATTTGTCGATATGGTTTTCAACTCTGCATACTTCTCAATGGCTTCCTTATTTAAGCGCTCTAATAATCGGTAATCAGCATGAGTCGCAGTAAGCTCTTCTTGAAGATATTCTCCAGTCTTTTGAAACATTGTATTTGCCAAACGGCTAAGATTGGGATCATGTGGATCTAAAGCTTCAAAACTACTTGTACTTGTTGACAGAGTAGTTCCACGTTTTGGAGATTCACATCGTAGATTTCCATCCAATTCCAAATTATCCACTGACACATTGTCACTTTGTGTTCCTTCTTTGCCAGTATCTTTGACTGAGCTCATATTCAAAGTTTCTCTATAACGTCTGTATACAAAACATGAAAAATTTGTTAGGAAACATGTTTTTCTAAAGTAATACAACATATAAAAATTGCCAATTGTTATAGTTAACCTACCCATATCCCAGTTAATTTTTAATTGTAAAAGTCATTTTCTATGTTAATGACTATTTATTAAGATAAACATTTTTTATAATTTTAAAAACATGTACTAACCTTCCTTTTAAATACAAATGTCAAACACTCAACTAGTTGATACAATCGTTAATAATTAATACTGACTGATACTGACAGAAAGTCAGCTATGAATCAGTATGCAACAGAAAGTAATAAGGAGATAATCAACGCTACGGCTTTATGTCACTTTAGGCGCTACCAAAAGCATGGCGTTAAATCGTGGAGAAGAGTCCGGCAGTAGCAGGCAGTAGGATTTTGTGATCATCGCCTCCGCCGACAATGCGAATCCCGTCGTAGCCGAGCTAAATGTGAACACGACCGCGTAGCTTGGCGGGCAGAGGTTCTCCGCTACTCACCGCTGGTTCCCAAAGCAACTCTTAAAACGAGACCGGGAACTATAGAACTTCTCAAGAATTATTGAAAAAGCCTATTGTTGAAAAAGAAAAGTTTAAAGTGGTAGCGCATGTAACATACCACACGTATATTATATTGTAGTGATATATTTTAATATATTTCTAATGGCATTGATATTACTAATCTTTCGCGAGCTATATATGTACATATGTACTTTGTATACTGTATCATTATTGCATTTGTTGAATAAATTATCTTGAAACTCTTATACACGTTGATATTAATTTGCCCTATGCGAATATCCCAGAGTACGAGTGAGTTCTGTCTCTCTCTTACTCTCCTCCGTCCTAACAGCATCCATCTCCTTCTCCTCCAACCTTATGCTTCTACACCTCTTCTCGGCTATGCTGCATTTTCTCTGCCATTACTTTCATTTCATCTGCAAGTTGCAAAAAGTAAAGGGATTTTTTGAAAGTGCCCTATCGCAGTTTTATCTGTACCAACGTGATACAGCTGAATTTCGAATTACTTTCGGAATTATTTTATCGGAGAAAGTTCACTCCTTCTCTCAGAGATGGCGCCACATATCATGCCCA